GTTTTTCTACCAATATACCAATATAGGTTATATTTTGGGAAATATCTCTTCCCCACGTATTACTTTTACGCTTTTCTTGATTCTCTCCGTTGTTAAACATAATATACATGTTAAGTGTTATACTGTAATTTCGTACTGCCACAATATATATACACTGTAATACCTATTGATACAACTTGAAATAGAAGATTCGCGCAGGATCAGATAGACAATTCGAAGATCGAACTGCACTTTTATCATTATAAACCGGATTGCAAAGGTACCGTAGTTGTACCCACAAAGTTACACATACCTAATATTATTATCGATGGCTAGTTTTTTATCCCGTATGATGACGTCGTCGACTGTAATCATTTATATTTTATACATACCTGGTTCTGTAAGCTATAATATATTATGGTATGTCCATTAATTTAAAAGCTCGGCGTCGTCCTCCTGTCAATTTTAAGTATATACATACTCCCGATTTACCGCACGGAGAGTTTCCATCACCCACAACACAGAGTTATGGTATTTATTATGGTTCACAGTCAGTTGTCCACATATGTTTTTACGAGGCTGCAGCCAATGTTAAAAAACAATCGTAGTATGCACCATAGTTGAACTTTCAGTAGGTATTTGATTTTAGGTAATTTTTCAATATAGTACAAAACTACAAAGGAGATTTAAGCTGTCTATTTTAATAATTTTAATTTTGGTATCTCCTAATTTATTCACTATTTTCCCCGTTGAGGAGAAGACGTAAATTAATGGATAATATTACGATTTGCATAGCTCTTTGGAGGGGGAATAATGTATACACCCATAACGCGTACATATTACCAAGAAGTATCTAGGTGGACTAGAACATATTATATTTTAATGATTTTGTAGGCGATTTTTAGCTGATTCTGCTGATGAGTAGGTATTATTTACCTACATTATATTTGTCCATCTATCTTGAATCAATTATATGGGCTTAAAGTTTCACTAGGGTAACTATGTAAGTCATGTCCAATAAATATAGGTTATAAATATAGGGATAATCGTGATCTATCGTTGGATAGATCTTCGGTGGTCGTCTCTCAAAATAATTAAAAAAACTACCCACTATTTGTTAAATATTAATTTTATTTCACAAGATAGAATATTGAAGAAAAGTCTGTACGAGCGTGTCCCACCAATAATCGGATTTGCGCACATTATAATATTATACATAAGACGATGACTATTCTTGCAGCAGTTGGTTTCGGTGTATAATAATAATTATATTTTATTGTGTTGTTTACGATTGAAGTATATTTATATTTATATTATGTATATATCGTGCGAACAGTGGTGGGCGGTGAATAGCTTTTTTTAAAATGACTGTTTTTAAATTTTTTATTATAATTATTTTTCTCCATAAGTATACTAAATATAATATAATTACCACTAAACCACTAACTATTTGGCCCAGGAAACGATAGATTCACTACAATTTGAATATTTTTGTAAAATGCCAAGCAAATATGTTTTTGTTATAAGAACTGCAATCTGAAATTTGATTTTACATAATATTATTTATATGATTTACGTGTTAGTAATAATTTTACTAATACTAATAAGTACTAATAAGTAATGATTAAGAATTGCATCTAAAGAATTTATATTTTTATTATTCAATAACAAATTATTCTCATTTTATCGGCCATTTGTCATCAAATCATTCGTGTAATATTTTTATCTATTTTAAATATATCCATTAATATTCCACATCCTGTTTCTAGTTAACTTCTTATCTGCTTTATTTTTATTGTTTTTTTTTCATTTTTAATTCTCTAAATTGTTTATTGTCACTTATCACTTATCAGTTATTAGTATTTCCGTAGACGACTGTTTTGTCAATCGATTTTTGAACATTTATTTCCATAATTTTATTTTTTATCGCATAGTCTAAGGTTTATTATCTTTGAACTCGTCGATGTAACGATTTTGTCGTGACATGTGATATTGTGCTTTCGTGTTTACTATTATTCTTTCAAATTCATATTGTTTATTGTTAAACGTTGTATGATATCTATTATGATGTCTTAAATACGGGAGGATGAAATTAACACGTATGGTATAGATATTTAATTTTAACGATTTGCATCCTGGGCGTTGTTACCGAATTTTCAATCACCACATACGCTTAACAATAACAAAGACAATCGAAATGGACGTCAAATTGTCACCGTACATACTGTCTGTCCAGAAACTATGTAGGCGCTTTGTCGGTACCAACCATAATAATTTACGTATTATAAATTGTAATTATTGTAATTAATATTATATATTATATTATTATGTCAACTACGATCTAAACAGGCAACTATAATTATTATAATATAGTGATTTTAGAAACATTAGTCGTCATAAATATTATAGTTATTACTATGATTAAACGATATCGATTTTATTATAGGTTTCATTAATTTTACCATCGCCCGTGATGAACGTAGAACCTAAAACGCACGCCTCACCAACTTGCGCATAATATAATAATATATAAATTTATATTACATTTATGGAATATCAATACATCATACACCAGCTAACCACCGCCTATTTGGGTGATGCAATTCAGCAATATTCGTTGGTATAAATCGTATTAAAAACACGCGTTCATTTCGATAACGATTAAATGCGTCACGCGGATATTTATGCATATTATTATGCTCACGCGTAATACTCATTTTATTATCATTTATCATTTATCCTTACAGAGTGATTACCTAACGTGTAGCATTTCGGCATTCGTCATTACTCATTAATAATATTCGCGTTGGAGTTAAGCGCGGCATTATAATAATTGTCTAATGTCTAGTATCTGTTGTCTGTCTACCTAGTCCTAGTGCCTAACCGCATAATCCCATTGCGCTCACAACGGTTATTACATTTTTTTGTTAGGATTTCGTTGTTTTCCGCGTTGTTTTATCTAGATCGGACAGATTCCGCGAACAATAATGATGTTTTTTCCTCATTTATTCCGTATTTTCGAGAGACGTTCACTTTTAAATGTGTATATACACGTGTACGGCCATTGTGTGTTTAAAAATCTTGATCTAGGCCATCCCGACGACGTGGTAATTAGTGTATGGTTGTAGGTACGTTATAAAGCGTGCGCGGACATGACGTTAATCGTCCGTTCACATGGTCTAATTAGTTAAAAATTACGTTTATTATTATTCTTGCGGTTAATTTTTTTTCCTGTTATGGAATACTCCTCTTTCGATTACGATTAAAATTCTACCGGCTAGACGCGCAGCAACCGATAGGTAGGTATAATATTATTATAATAATGTAGTATTGTAAGAAAATCGACAGCGTGTATAACTATAAATACGTTTCATACGGTCGATACACATATAATAATATATCGACGACGGTACTCATTTATAGGTTACCGCCGCGTAACATACGACTTTCACGGCCGCGGCGTGCCATTATTTCGGGGTTTCCAGACTGGTTGGATTTCGTTCTTTTTATTTATGAATCCGAAGAGAGAGGGTGCAGATCCTCGGCGTGTTGCAGTTGTAGTTCCTCGCAGTAGCAGCAGCAGCAGCAGCATTACGAAACCAGTTAATTAAATATAGTATTTTTTATTTCTCGCGCAGTCGCGCAGAAGGTCGTAGTGTAGAAAACTGTCTGGTACACGCTAACATTTTTTTTATTTTCGCGATAAATGATCGATCGGAGCGACGACGACGACGACGCCTTTCGCACGAGTTATAAGCGGTCCTCAATGGGTATACCTATAACCAACCTATACCACCTATATAAAATATATTTTATATTATATTATATTATATTCTCCGATATCGCACGGAATCAGGTCGTCGACGGTATATGTGCGTGCGTACGTCCGTGTGTGTGTGTGCGCAAGCGTGTGATCGACTAGCGGTTTCTGCGAGCTGGAAATTGACCACAGGTTTCGATGACTCGAAATAATTTTTCTTCAGTAGTACCGAATACAATACAAATGATATCGTTCGCATGCATCCGTACATGCACAGTTATTCTTAGATATTCTCTCGGTCAAGACGTATATTGTATAATAATATTATATTATAATGATTTGTGATTTTTTTGACGATTTTATTTTTTCCTTATTCATATCCTTATGCATGCGGAGCGCGAGAGGTTCTCCACGTTCTTGCGTTCGAGGGGGGGTTGTAACGCGACCCAGGACGACAAGCTAAAAAATAATGTCCACGGACGATTGGTCTCGGCGCGCGTAAAAGAACATAATATTATAATATTACAGGTATACGTAGGTACACGCGGACGACAGCAGCTAATAATGCGTGAAATACAGAAAACAGTTGTTTGAAATGCAGGACTGTTGTTGAACGGTCCATAACGCGTAATGCACACATGTATATTTATATAAAAATAACAGGAAAGTGTACTTATATATTATACATAATATACTCGCGTTCGTGTATATCGCGTTCGGTGGACCAGCACTGATTTGTATACCGAAATCCAAAAAATACTATAATATACGTATTTTGTGTATTCGTAACGTGCGTGTGTGTCACGTGAATGTGTACGGGGAAAAAAAAATAAAAATCGTATACAATATTTGAAATCTCGCTCACAGCCTCAAAACCGACGGAGGATCGCCTTGAATATAATAATATTGTTATTTCTTTTGCGAATTTTAATGGTAATATATTGGTAATATATGTGATTATTACGATAACCGGAATCGAACGATTCTATGAAATAGGACTTATGTATTGCAATATGTTACGTCGTTATGTACTTAAAATAGTATATTAAATGCTGCTCAGTGCAAACGAGTTTTCGTCGAATCCGTTTCGTTTGCGTGTATTACTCGAGCATGCGATATAATGATAACGAATAACGTTTTTTTCGAAAACACAGCTATTACGTTTACCTATGAATCGCGATTTACAGTGTTGGTTTAGATGAACTAAAATGGCATCTGATTTTTTGTTTACAGACTTTGAGGGGCCTCGAGCCCCTGTGGGATGGACTGCCGTGGCGACGAGCTCATCCAACACAATAACAGAACAGCGGCACAAGCTGTGCCTTTTCAATACCTCATCAACGAACAGGCAAAGTCTATCCTCGCTCTACAGGTCGGTGTAAACTATTATTTCATATCTTTTTTTGTTTTGTACCCACTGATGCGTTGCACAACACGCGTGTTACGAAATCGATAATTATCATCTCGTTATAGTTGCTTATACCTAGTAGAGTATACCCACGTTGATGGTTGATGTCTAAAAAAATCCTCTATTAATTGTAAGGAAGATATTATAATATTATTAGAGTGTTTCTAAATATTTTGTTCAGTACTAATTACATTGGCCTATTACTATTCCCAATTACTAAAAGATAGTTGAATTTCAGTAGATAATAATATTATGTAGCTTGTGTGATATAATATTATATATTATTATATAATGCAAGATCATTTCGAATACTAAAAATGTCGTAAATAATTATTTCTAATGGAAAGGCGGTTTCGTAATATCGAATAATTATATTTCATTATGTTAATGTGGACTGTACATTTATTTAATCTTTTATACTAATATTAAAAATCTCTGAATGCGCCTAGATAACTGATAAAATAATGAAATGGATTGCAACACCACGGTGATTTTTCTACGTATTCAACTAACTTGGTTTTTCAGTTTTTTTATAACAATAAATATTGAGTTGAAGCATTAACATTCTTCTTAAGCATCCGTTTTCGCGTATATCGATAAAATATAACAAATATTTAATATGAAAATAATAATAGGTCGTTATCACGTTAGCAGAAATTTATATAATTAAAACAAACATCACCTATATTATATTATATTATTTATAACATCGTGATTGAAAATAGGCATTATGTTACCTAGTTCACCTATAGACTGTTAATAGAATATAATGGGCAGAGCCGTGTCAAGCAATTCAGCGCCCCGGGGTAATTCGAGCCCTTTCCCTACAATTTGGGCTCCAAGTAGCATATTAAGCTCAAATAACGACGCCCCTTACTTTTACAAAACTATGGCGCCCGGAGGCAATTGCCCCCTTTGCCCCCCCTTAACACGGCTCTGATAATGGGGTGGCTACTAGTTGCGTCCCGTGGTAAAAATTTCTTCCGAATTACGACCCCTGTTTTTTTGGGTTCCATACGAATTGCGGCCCGAAATTTAAAATTAAATTAATTGAAATATGTCAATTAAAATTAAAAAAGCTTCATTTTCCTTCTCGTTTTTATTCAGACTTAGGACTGTCTGTAGCATCAGTAGATACTGTAGGTAGGTTAAACAATTTTGGCACTGGTAAAACGTATATTATGATATTTTTTAAGGTTAAAAATGTTTTTTTGACATTAAAGTCTGATATTAAAATGTTTTGTTTTTATTAAAACATTTTGGCACTGGTAAAAACGTATATTATGATATTTTTTGAAGTTAAGAATATATTAGTATAATTTAGTGAAATTCGTAGATTAAATTATATCTAAATGATATATTAATTATTAGAAGACGTTTGAAATAGGTACCTAATAGTATAGTATATTAGTATAAGTACGTATACGTATACCTATTTGAAACTTATAATATTACTCACTTATAATATGCATAATGATTTTTCAAAATATAACCTATTATTACGTGGTTTATTTGCTATTCTACTTTCGAATAAATTATTTGCTGTTTGGGAATAAAATTATTGAAATTTTATTCCTCGGGTTATAATATTTAAAATACAAAAATACCTTACCGGGAACTTTTTTTTTTATTATTATTATTATTTGGTTATTCTAATCCCGTATATGACTTGCATGCATGACCCACTTAACCGGTTTGTATATTTTCGACGAATGAGGTAAAACAATAGTTTTACCTTTCGATTTCCTGTTGATTGACGCTAAAATCGTCATGATCGTAAATGAATTTCGTGTTTCGAAAGTAAAATCTATGATGTACGTGTACAGGCATACAGGGATCACAGGCCACAGCAGGTTAAAATTTTCAATTTCTTTTGCAAGTTATTTTTGATTAATGTTCTTACATTGAATTATATATCAATATAATATAGATCAAACAAATTACCCATAAAAAATAATTGAAGGTATTTTTAATATATTTTAATTTTGCTTAAAAATAGGTCAAGTATAGTCGTTTTTCATGGTTAAAAAAACTAAAAAGTAATTAAACTTTATTTGTTTTTGGTACAATAACTAATAAAAAAAAAATTCATCAAGACCCAAATGTTTTTCTTTTTATTAAAGAATGTGTTTTTGCAAGACAAAATATTACGCCGCATATTTTGAGATAATATTTTTTAACATTACAGTATTACAATTTTTATTACGCCTATCATAAAACTATGTAATATTATTACGATTTACATTATTACAGTTTTAATAAAACATAATATCATAAATAAATATTTCTCACATAACTATAGACTATCTATATATATATTATAGACTATTATAATATTATTATTACAGTGTAACTTCACGATATTGAACAATGAACGTGTTCTGTCCTACAAATTTGTTTATAAATTATAATGTCATATAAAAATTAACACATTCATGTATTTAAAACTTATGAAATATTATCAAATCATTAAAATGATTCTTCGATAAATAACATAATGCGTATCTTGTGTGGTTTGTTTTTCTTACTTTAACATAATGTACTCACCTACTTATTTTTTTTATCCGAATGCATAAACATTAAAATTTTTTTAGATACTTTGTCCTGTACAAAAATGCGATGCCACATGAGTGTGGGTTTGTACAAATAACTATAATATTATAATAACAGAAATATTACATTACTAAGATTTTATACATTAAAAAAAATCGGGTGATTTATGTTTCATTATTTTATTTGCAAGGTTTTCTATTTTTTTCTTTATGTGGTCACTTATCATAGTCATAGTGAGAGTTATATTTTAAATTTGTATTGTTCTTTTAATTTTAATGGACCTTGAAATGTATTATTACTTTGAATACTTTTTAATTCAATGGCTTCGAAAACAATTTATTACGATTTTTCGTAAATAATTATAATTTATTATTATTCTTATTATAACTATTGAATACTTATTATTATTTTTAATGAGTCAAAATTTACAATCATCATAAAAGTGGGTTTGCTATTTATTTTAAATACACAATTATTTCCTCGTTAATATTCAAAATAATTTGTTCAAGTGCAGTCATTTACAAGGATTCATTTTAAATACTAAAACTTCATAATAACTGTCGTTTTAATGTTAACATATTTTGTGTTATTATATTATTGAGTACCTACTCAATTGATTTTACCGAATATTCCACCCAGAAATATTTTTTTGTAGATCGCACGTGCAGACTTGTATTTTGCGTTTGATCGATAAAGAAACACGATGTGGGACGTGGGTGTATATCATTATTCATTATAGTGCGTTTTTAAATTCATAACGAAATAAATTTTTAATTAAGTAGGTATTAATCATAATAAAAAGTTTATGTGCAGATATGGCACACACGATTCGTCTATTATCCTATATATGGTTTGCTGGTATATTATGTTCACGGTTTAAATCCCACCAATTGAATAAATAAAACCTATACGTTTGATGTGTTTTGGAATAGAAGTACGTTTCGTTTTATTACAATATTATTAAACTAAATATGCGCTGACTTATAATGGATAATTACTATTTTCGCCCGAATCTCAAGACCAACTAGGTATTATGGTTTCGTTCAGGAAGACTGCAGTAACGATCTGCCTCGTGTGCCGTCCGCACATATTAATAATATTATAATATACTAGTATACTTAATATGTGAATAAAAAAAAATGTGGGACGCGTATAATAATAATATATTAACTTAAACTGGCGGTTTGTTGGAAAATATCTTAAATTTTACCCGCACAATATATTATAATACCGTAAATATATTATGTTTTAATAAGCCTGCAACACGTTTTAGCAGTATATTTATCGTGCAGCCATATAATAAGTTCACTCTCACAGCCTCCGGATCGCCGACTATATTATTATCATATACTTATTATTGACTATGCGCTTGAAATGTTTCAGGAATTACAGAATGAGGTCGGCGCGCTGTTGGAGTTTAGGGACATGGTCATGGACACATTCCCGCACCTGCGTCACAAGCAGGCGTCCAGCCCGGAGCCGAGCTCGGGGTCGCAGGGCGTCGGTTCCGGCGAGAGCCGCTGGGAGCCCGGCGTGCGGGTCCGCCGGAAATTGCAGGGCTCGTCGTCGGGATGGATCGCCGGCGGGGGCGGAGGTGGAGGAGGCGGAGGCGGTGGCGTCGTCGGACTGGTGGCTGCGGCCGGGACGGCACCACGCAGCCGGAGCAACAGCCACGGGAAGGGTCCGAAGAGCGGTGAACCGGCGGCCGCTTCGTCGGTGGGCACCGTGCAGGACAGTGGCTTCTGCACGGAGAGCAAGGACAGCAGCTCGACCAGCTCGAGGACGACGATGACCACCAAAAACTGCGACGGCAAGGACGACGAGGACGACGAGCTGTGGAGCCTGCTGGAGATGATCCAGGACAAGGGCACCAAGCTCAAGCTGGAGGTGGAGTCGCTGCAGAACCGGCTGCTGGTGGACGACGAGCGGCTGCGGCGGCGTCGGCGCCGGCAGCGGTTGCGGCCGTGCCGGAGCGTCGACGACCTGCTGCAGCCGTCGTGGCCGCGCGACGCCGATGACCTGCGCGCCCGCGGCTGCACCGCCGATTACGACGTGTTCCGGGCGCACGTGGCCAACGTGAAGCGCGAACGGGACGCGCTGCTCGACCGGGTCACCGAAATGGAAGCGGAGAGCTTGTCGAACGCGGCGCAGATCCACCGGCTGCTAGCCGAGCTCAAGACTGTTGTGTGCGAGAACAGAGAACTCGAGGAACGGCTCTGCGGCGGCAAGTCGCCGTCGGCCGCCGCCGCCATAGCAGCCGCGACCATCGCGTCGAGGAAATCGTCATCTAGTCATAACGGCGGCTTCGCCCCGGTCCAGCCCGAATCGTCTACGGGGCCCAGCTCGTCGTCGGCCGGCCGCGACGCGTTCTACACGCCCAGTCAACATTCGGCGTGCAACCTGTCGTCCATCGAACTGCAGTGCGACAAACTGTTGCACGACGGTTCGTCGTCGTCCGCGTCCTGCGCGTCGCTGTCTTCTTCATCAGCCATCATGGACGATGGCGGCGGCGAGCGGGATCGGGACCGCCACCGGTCCAGGAGGGTCCTGCTGGTCCGGCCTTCCGACCCAATTTCCCGGAACCTGGAGGGCCGCGCATCGTCTCCGGCGCTGGACATCGGCTCGCCGACGTTCGCTAAGCGGCTGGGCGCCCTGGACGGCGTGGTCAGCAGTCCCGGCGACCGGATCGGCAAACCCCACGCGCCCGGGTTCGGCACCCCGTTGCCCAAAAGAACCCTGGCTGCCATACTGAAAACGTTCAATCCCATCGAACTCCAGAGACACCTCATCACCGTATCCTACGAGAACAAGGTGAGAGTTATACTATATTATTATTATTTTTTTTTTTTTATTAATCGATAAAAATTTAAAAAATTATAATTCACAAATTTATAACAATAATAATTATAATACTATGATTATATATCTATTTTAAACAGAGCTTGAGTTAGAGATAGATAGATCAATAGTATACAATATTATACTAAAAATTATAATATATGATCCCCTGCGCATAGTTTTCCGTGACGAATCAAATGCCTATACGATTTTGATCCTTCTTAAACTCCATTAAATGTAAGCTTCACAGGTTTTTAACTCTAATTTCTTGTTTGTCGGTTGTTTAGACAAAATTTATAATACAGGTCTAAAACCAAATATTGTTAGCCAACCTTAATTTCTAATATATAACTCCTGTGACCAACAATAATGGTGGCAAATACTGGCAACCTTATACAAACAAAAATATATTCGCTTTTTTGTCAACCTAAATATTATTGCTATTTGAAATTCGAAATTAAAACAATTGGCTTCGAGATGCACATCCTCGGTCAACCTATGTACCGATTTTCAGAACCATTTGTGATTTTATACTTGGCTGTGGATTGCTTACGCACACACACAAACATTGCCTTTTATAAATATAGATTACAACACTATAATATAATGTACCCATTGTTTGTGTAAACGAGTATAGTCTGTTGTCTTATACGCGTTAAAATGATTGATAAAAAATTGTATTTTGAGCATAATATTATGATAATAAATTATAGTCGTTAGGTAGGTACTGGTTGTTGTACTTATGGCTGGTACTTTGAGCGTTTTGTATTCCGTGACGTTAGAAAAAACTACTCCAAGTCGGCATTTATGATATTATTATATTACATTTATATATATTATGTTATATGAAATTGATACCAACATATCGAATACTAACGTCAATGCAAGAACTAAAAATATTTTTAATTTTGGTATTTCGCGAAATGTAGTACTTACATAGCTAGGTAATTCTTTTTTCAACTAGGTACCTACTTCGTTTAAATTCGCGCATTACTTTTCGGGTTAACATTTTTTTTTTGTGTGTTTTCTTTTTATATCATTCACTTGTAATAATATTATTATTTATGATGAGTCATCATCACTATCATCATCTTAGTTATTTTTTTTTTACTTTCGCGCCTTCTCGTACGCACAGAATGTCTACTACTTGTAAATCTGTTTTTCCCCCTACAATTTGATACAGCTGAAAGAGAACAATACATAATATGTTTTATATGTAGGTATATTATAATATTAATGAACGTTTTCAAATGGTTCCAGTTGACAAACTTTGTAAGTACACGCTCATTCTTCCTATGAATAATGTAGGTATCTAATATATATTAGCTCTGATACGATTTTCCTCGTGCAGTAATAAACATATACGCTTTCAATTTGGAACCATTATTATTTGTTTAGATACTTTCTTTGCGGTTAAAGGCGTGCTAAAAGTTTTCTATTCGCAAACACGCGGTTCGATTCAAAACCACGCGTAATCTGCAGGTTGGGTAGAGAGAAATCGAGAATTAGATCAAAACGCAATTTATATGAGCGAATGTTATACGAGGGTTTTATGTGTGCAGAAAACCTTTCCGAAATTATATGTTTACATTTAAATCACGCATTTTGCTCTGACCATAATATATCTCAAATATTGTGGCACGTCCGCCCTCAATGAGTATGGATACAATTTTCTTTGCGGAGGATATTGGTACGTGGTACATACAGGAATATTACTGTGGATTTGCGGTCAAAAAGAAATTCCGAATTTTTTCTCGCTTCCTACCGTACGTATCGTCTTATATTTTATTAGTGATTCGCATAACATATATTTCAGCGCTTTCATTAACATATCTATCAGTTAGTTTCAATATAGAACCTTTTTTTCAGACAGTCTCAGATGATCATGATTATTCGTTTCAATTGCTGTAGACTTTTTCTGGACACGCTCCAAAACCCGCATTATAAAATATTAAATACTTTCGACAGCACAATCAAGAGCTATATAGAAGATAAATAATTAAATGATTGTAGCGATGCGACTACGTCTATAGACACAATATAATATATTATAATTGCCAGTGATCGTGAAAGACTCATGGGGGTGTGTGGTTAAAAAAAAAAAAATTGTAAAAACTACGTTCAAAATTAGAAAGACTGTTCGGTAATATTAATCGACCGCCCACCGGTTTGTAGAACCCCTTTTGTCGTGTAGCGGACGTTCATATTATTGTTGTACTATTACTATTATTATGTTCTATATGAATTTTCGTTTTTGAACCCACATTGACATATATTTACATTGAAGTTTCAAGTTCGTCACAAGTTGACCATATACGTGCACTGCGAGTGGTGCGTAAACCCACGCGATTCCAATTTATTACACTGAACCTATTATTGTTGTGTGTATAGTAAAGGTCTTCATTGTTTCGACTTTTAATTTTTTTTTCGGTAGGCGGAGGACCGTATTGCTGTTTTAATATTTCATCTCTAAACACGCATACGATTATGATTATGCACTTTTCAAGGATTTATGGCGTTTATATTTATCTCCACAACGCATGATTTATGTGTATATATTATACTCCGTCATCGAAATGCAATAGTACTATAATAAATCGCTGCGTAGAGCCGATAATAATTAATTATCCCGTGGCGGTGACGACGACGACAATATTATTATTATTATCATTGTTTCTGTGCAATAAAATATCATTATTATCGCAATGAATTCGTACATACACCGGCTGTTGTTTTTTTAAACACCGTTTGACGAGTGTACAACGATTATTGCTGCAGATGAGTTCTGAATATTCGAATATACGTTTTTGTTCGAGAAACAATGAACGGCGTAGGTCCCCCGGCTGAGGTATACGGTGTTGGTATAATATAGATGGTTATGTAACCGTGATTCCTGCAGAACGCAGAACGAAAATCCTAACCGTAAAATATTATAGCAGCGTAGAGCGCGGTTTACCTACGTCCTGGCTACCTCCTATTGCATTAAGAACAATATTATTATATACATAAATATACTATTGTACCGGGTATTCGGAAACAGAACCAATTAGAAACACGGTCTTGGTCATCTGGGACACCGGTCGGTGGTGATGCAGTGCTACAATGCAACAACTGCAGCAGGTATCGCGAGTACATTCGTATATAGAGTCGCTGGCCCGGCGATAATTAACTGACCTCAGCTCGCACTCGTGTGTCTGTGTGCGATATCCACTTTCGCAATATCGACGAATATTAACGTTCCCCATACTAAATCTCTGTGTACCTACCTATACATATATAGTATACGGAGAACGAAAACTAGCCAACGCCCTTCGGCGAGATTATAAAGCGGGACTCGCGACGTTTGACGCAAATGAATGAGAGGGGAAAAAAATACTATAATATATTCTATTATATACTTATACGTACCTAATCCAGTTCGGGTTTTATGATATTATTATGAGTATAAATGTCGTATATATATTTTTTATGTTCGGTCTGTGCGCATAGGATTTATGGGGTTTCGATGACATTGGCCATGATGGGTTTCGCCTTGCGCGTCTATATACGCGCATTTTAGAATTATTGTATATTATAATAACAAATATGTACGAATACGCCACGTACGATATTATTGCGCTTTTGTCTGTCGGCGAGGGCTATATAATTACATTAATCGATCGGTATAGTCTCGAAAAAACGTACATGACAATATAATATAGAATCACTAAAAAACCGATGGTTTAATTAATATTCTTAAATATTACGCGTTGTAATAATATTATGTCACTCTATTTTAAATTTTACAAAATTAATAATATATTTCTTTTAGCATAGTTACAATCCGCAGTCTTTATAATAATTCGATGAGATTCACATCCCAGAGCATAATATTATTCTATACTTTGGCAACAATCTGAGCAACTAAGAAATATTCGCATTTTTGTCACAAACCGAGCATCATTGTAGAAAGTGACGTATCCGAGGGGTTACAACCCCCCTTAAATTGTTCATGATAACGTTGTTATCATTAATAAATTATTCTCAGATAAAATTCGTCAAAATGAATTATTATAACTCATCCCGAACAAAAATTCTGGATACGCCACTGATTGTTGTATATATACATTCTCCCAAATTGGGCCCAAACCAATATCATATTGCAGTATCGAATATTATTGATAAACTGTTCCGTTTTTTTTTTTTCAGAACCTCGTCCGTCAGATGGAGATGTTGAACATTTCCAAGAGCGACGTTTCCAACGAGCTGAACAAGAGCAAAGAGGACAACGAAGAACTGAAATTCCAAGTGAGTGGTGCCGTGACGCCTCCGCGGCGACGCTAGTGGCGTGCTTGGGTTGGAGAACGATGACGTCATCACGTGCTTGTTTGTTTTAGCTGGAGGAGAAGCGCATCGAGCTGGAGGGCACCATGGCCAGGGTGAGGTTGCTGCAGTTGCACCAGGAGCAGCAGCAACACGGTCCCGTGGTCGCGGGATCGCAGTCGACCGGCACCGCGGCCACGGCCACCAACCAGTGGCTGGACCTGGTGCCGTCGAACCCGATCCTACCTCAGATCGCGTTGCCGGGAACGCCGTCGGCGGCGGTGTCCGCCAACGGCAACAATCTGCACCTGCACCAGCACCTCAACCACAGCCAGGACGAGAACGGCGGCAGCAGCAGCACCGAGTCGGCGCACCAGACCCGCAGTGGCGGCAGACACGGCGTGCAGCATCAGCCCAGCAAGATACCGGTGGTCAAGCCGACGTCGTGCCCGGTGCAGTCGAGGCCGTCGTCGTCGTATCGCGGCAGCGACGCTCAGCAGTACCAATCGTGGACCAAATGCAAGTCGGACCAATCGTTGCCCCGCAACTGGGAGTCCATCAACAACAACAACAGCCACAACAAGAGCAACGGCGGATCGTCCATCGGCAGCGGCGTCGGCGGCGCGGCCGTCAAACAGCTGCGCGGCGGCAACAGACTCGACTCGTCGCAGTACCAGCAGCACAGGTCCCGAAGGGATTCGGGCGGCGGATCGTCCCTGACGAGAGCTCGGTCGCAAAATAATCACTCGCACCGGGGCGGCGCGGCCAAAGAATTTGTCGGCAGGACCGCGTCGTCGTCCGCGGCCGCGGGTCATCAGCTGCAGCAGCTGCAACATCAACAACAACAGCCGACGGCCGACGATACCAACAAGGTACGGCCGACCAAGAGATTCACCAACATGTTTAACAGTTGGATGCGGAAATCCTAACGGAAGGCTTTTAAAAAAACACACACACTATCGGCCGTATATATATATTATACATATTATTATAAGACGATGACGTCATTATCGTCCGACGTTTCTACGACGTGTGCGCACGCGCACGTTTTCAGACACACACACACACTCAAACACATACACGTACATGTATATCGTAAACTTGGGCGCGCACACACACTCACACTCACTCTGACTTAAGTCGATGGTGTCGATATGTATATATAATATGATAATGTGTGTGCGCGTATAAGTGTGTGCGTGCTTTACTTTATATATATTTCTAATAATAATATATAATATATATATTATCGCACCATATTATTATGCTGTTGTTTCCAATCACACCGCAGTCACAAAAAAAAGTACCAAAAAATGTGTTAAATATGATATATTATATTATATGATGCGAAAAAGGATATTAGCTTTTCGACGTGTGCTTATGTTATTGCTTCTTATATTGGACATTATACGCAGTAAAACAAAAATATATACATAATATAGTACATATATATATATACGCGCATATCGTGTCCCCGCGATTATACCATCACACACCGTTCACACTCGACGACTCAAGTCGGCCGATACCCGTAAGTCTGATAATTTTTTTTTTTCTGTCTTTTTGTTGTTGTTTACTAAGTTTCAAATTTTACATAACCGTCTTCTTGCCCTTTTTTTTATAATAATATATGTGTATTATTTTGTAGAGTTGTGGCTTATTGCATGATGTATATAGGTCACTCATCTCCCTGCAGCTCCGCGTGTGTACCGCCGCCTAACACATTATTGTTTTTTAGACTTTCCCTCCTACACGAGTGTTAGGTACAGATATACACCTATAGGCGATGTTTAGGCATTTTATTCGGTTCCACGTAATTTTATTATAATTATTCTAAAATGTATACGAGTTATATGTAGGCTATAGCTATAAGTAAACTCACTTATATTAGGCCCACGATGTACAATGCAAAAAGTAAAAATACTTTTTAAATTAACAAACAGATGTCGTATTCGTTACATCGCTAATCTTACACCTTATAGATTACGGCCTGCTAACTTTTCGTTATCAATATAATATGTATTGATCATTTTAAGATCTTTCGGGTAATTGTCAATTCTTCGCATAATTCGTTGTTTGAAAGTCGCCGCGCGGCACTAGTCTCTATGTGGGAACCCGAATTCGACCACGCTATAAAATATGACCAGTACAGTCCAACGAGGAGGTTTATTTTTGAGGAAAAATCTCTGCAGACCACAGTATATACGCACTACGCAGGCGTTTACGTCTCGTCCGATCCGCACCACTCGACATAAATGATAGGTGTTGCCGTGTAGGTATAGTTTACCCATGATGGTTTCCCGCAAATAACCGATTTTCGATTTGCCTTGGAATCGCGTAAACCCGCAGGAAAACGAGGCGACCGCGATAGACGATAATCCACCACGCCACCGTCCTATGATAAAATAATATATCTCCGTTGTTCGTCGCGAGGTCGATTTGCGCTCTATAATCCGACGGCGATCGTCACGTATTTTCCGAACTTTTAATGGGATTTTTTTTCTGCGTCCCGGTCCGATTATAATAATGAAAACCGCGTTGTATAGTATAATATGTACCGCATGCGGACAATAATAATATTAACGATATTTCGACGCGACACGGTCCGTTAATTCTTTTTTAGCGTCTGGTTAGCGATATATGTATAACTCGTATAATAATATTATTATAATGTAATATACAAAGGACCGGTATATAGGTATATTATACACCGCGTGTATACGTGTATACGTGCGCATGCGTGTAGCGTATTTATACGGACACTAGAGAGAGAGAGGGACAGTGATAGAGCAGTAATCGAGAGATTCAAGGCCCATATCCGTCGTCGTCGTCCGTCTCATCTCCCCGCTCGCCGCTGCAGCCGTATAATTATTATTACAATAATTTGTTTGTTCTTTTTTTTTTCCATTCGGCGGTTCTTTATTATTATTTTTTTTTCCCAACTCGAAATCAAGGACAAAAACGGTATAACCAGCAGTTTATACACCTATATTATGTAATGCTCGTATATATTCTAAATGGGCAATGTGTGTATGATATTATTGTGTAGTCTCTACAGCGTCCACGCGTGCCCGACGCTCGTAACGATTTTCCGTCGCACTTACTTTATAACATAATATTATTATAATATAGGCGCAAACCACAACGTCAGCTGCAGCGTAAGTTTTTAATTTAAATCTTTTCACACAAAACGATTCGTCGCCCCTCTTCCCACCCCACATCGCTTCTCGTCAACTCCTACGTGACGACGACAATAACATAATAATAATAATATGATTATTATTATACCGTCGTCGCTCTTCGTCGGCGGTTTGACTCTGAACACGAGCCGCAGCCGAGGGAAAACGTTATTAATATTAGAATATCTAAATATAATATTTTATATTAGAATATTATACTATTATATAGGCATACAAACGACTCCGCCGACGCTTTTTTATACGCATCGAAATTGATTTAGCAATTATTAGAAAAACGAAAAACAATTCAATACAAAATCGCGCGTCGATGCGTTGAATTGCGGCCCGTCATCGTTGTACTGCAATAATAATAGTACGCAGCATCGGTTTTCGACTCTGTCCGGTCCGTCCGCGCAATTTATTGTTGTCCGGTGCTTAGTACCTATGTGTAGGTACATAATATAATAATGGCTCTGTACTTTCTACTTCCGTTCGATTTCCGGCTGACCTTTATAGTCGAAAATCCCTACACAACTGCAACATGCGGATTGCTGCAGCACGTATACCATTATCGTGTATAATATTGTACAGATAGTAATCAGTTTAGTGCACTAATTTTCGGTCATTTGTGTAGTTGAAAAAAAACAAATGTTTTCTGTCTTCTGAGTACTTCGAACTCGTTGACGTGCTGACAAATTTTTACTAACTCATCGTCATCGCAGTAATGTTTTTCGGGGGATTTTACATTTTTCAAATCAAACACTTGGATATATTCCAAATTGTTTAGAGATCTCTGGAGTAGTCCACCACAAACTTGTGGGGTAGCGCCCTCATCACTACTTTATTATCCTCCCGGCTTAAAAGTAAATACTTATGTAGTATAAAAAAAAACCTTCGAGAAATTAGATTTGATTTCTGCAAACCGTAGAAAAACATTTTCACTTTTCTCTTCGAAATCATATAATTAGTGTAGTCGGTTAGACCGCACACCCTGTACATAATATGCGTTCTGTATATTATTTGTACCTGTATAGGTATAGTAGTAACGGTTGCAATCAACAAGTAGGCACGCGCGCCAGAAGATAATATATTATATGGTTCGAGAGAAAATACGTTTTCGCATCGATTGTTGCAGATTCATTATATATTATTACATTATACATATGTCGTCATCTGCTAGTAATTACATAGAAGTAGTATGAAAATAAATAATTTTTACTCATTCGCGGTGCGGACCAGATTTCTTATTGTATATACTATATTATACTATATTCGTATAATACTGCACCGTCTCGGGTACACGATAACAATAATAGTATATAACACAATTTCATCGCGAAATCGTTTCGGAAATAATAGTGATACCTATAATACTTGTTAGTTGTTACGTATTTTTGTCACTCGTCGCCGGTACATTATATTATTATTTGTATAGGCACCATTTATACCATCGAATTTTCGTCCGGGCAGACGAACTACTGCGGCGGCGGCAGTGTCTGTGCGGAGAGAATTGAAATCGTCGCTAATTTCGTCGCGTCGTCGTTGTCCGAAAACCGGCGGGTCATCGATAATATTATTCGCGTTTCGGTTCCTCTCGGTTGTTTTTACCTAAATATAATATAATAATAATATAAGGTAGGAATAGAGTAGCCGCTCGTGTACGACCGGAAATTGTCACTTCCTGATTGCCATGCACATTACAATAGCGCACGTACCGCGCGTCCATCAGCCCGCATCGCGCGTCATGAATTTTTTTTTATATTAATATATTAACAGATTAGCAGCCGTTCGTCTGCGTTATATACCATAATAATGTTATACACGATGTACCTATACCGTATACCGCGACGATGTATATTAGTAAATCGCGGTAATCGCGCTGCGCCTAAATCGTATATTATTTGTATTACAATATTATAAACTCTCGCTCGTTTATACTCTGCAGTTATCGCATTCGATTTTTCGGTTTTTTTTTTTTAATTCATCGGTAGGTACCATTATAATAATACACAAAAACGAAAGTCAAAATCCGTTAATTTCGTCTGCAGATTAATATATAATATTTATATTTACATATCTCTACCTATATATGTTTATATATAATTCGTGTATGCAAGTGTGTTTGTGTGTGTGTGTTTTCTTGATAAAATTGCAATCTACCGGTGTCTGGTATATTGTTTGTCTATACATATTATATTCTGATATTTTTTTAATTCGCATAGAAAGTCACGGCTGTCCGTGTAAATAATTTTTAAGCCACGAACAATTACGCGAATAAGCGGTAATGGCTATATAGTACCTACATCGGAATTTTCTATTCCAACGATATAAATGAAATTTTCCTGCATTCCGAAGTTATAATGTCATTTATGATAGTTAATCATATACACATCAACATAATATTATTATGTGGAAGTAGGTGTACCTATACAATATATTATATATTTTAGAGAGAGAAAAATCGTTAAAAGTTTATAATTCCTTTTTTACCATGATCGAACCAACTTCTTTTTTTACATAATATACTTACTATAGGCACCTATAGGTAATATTACAATTTTCGAACCAATCGCAATAGGCGTTCCGATTGATTTTCTTCATTTTATACATTTTATCTGCCAACAAAAAGAAACTAATATTATTTCCATAAATCATGCCTTTATAATATGGCATAATACGTATACCAGATACCTATAACTTCTTATATCATTTTTTTGTTGTAAATTGTACATCGTAATTGATATTACGTA